ATGGCTTCACTGAGTTACGCAAGCCCCTTCGCCATGACAAGGCAGTGATCCATGAAGGGGTGTGTGTATACTGTATGTATATGTATAATCCATGATCAGAAAACAGGAGCAATGCAATACTTTTCTATAAAATGTTTTCTATAAACATTTTATAGAAAAGTATGACAAAGAAATTGAAAAAATGGCTGAATATATTTTATTAGAAAAATCCTGTTTTGGGGCAGGGGGAGGGGAAGGGGAAGCAACACCTATTGGTTCCTAAGTCGACTTGCATAGCAGAACCTTTTGCTCATCCAGCAGCTGCAGCACCCTTCCAATGTGCTCCAACAAACCACCTAACCTTCTGGAGCAAGTTGGAAGCCATGGGGAAGTGGGTGGCAAGAGAAAAGGCATTTAGAGAGCATGTTGGGGACCGCAGAGGAAGGGGCCTAGTTCCCTCTTGCTTTGGAGGATAGAGGTTCCCATGGCATAATTCACTTCCCCCAGAAAAACTCTTCATTAGATCCTCATCTTTTTGTTGTAGATGAAACTGGAATGTCATAGCAAACATTAAAAATCACTGGCAAAACAAAAGTCATTCCTAAAGCTGTAAAATATTTCATTGTAATAACAATAGAAGAAAATGCTGGAGATTCAAAACTGATTTTAAAAGAGTGTGTATGTGTGTGCGTGTGTCAATTCTAAATTCCTCTTCTCTTGCCACCCACTTCCCCGTGACTTCCAGCTTGCTCCAGAAGGTTAGGTGGGTGAGGAAAACACACACACACACACACACACACACACAAACACACACAAAGAGAGAGAGAGAGAGAGAATAAGAGTACATGTTTATGTGACCCCCAATACAATAGGCTTTTAGGGGGAAATACTGCAGAGATGAGATATAGTTTGAAGTCAGTGTGTTGCCATAACACTTATGATTGCTTAGAACAATGCAAGAGCTTCTTTTAAGACCAAACCCCAGACCCAACTGGCTAGCAAATTAAGTTTTCCTTCAACATGCTGCCCTGGAATCTCCTGGCCCTTTGCAATCTTTGGTCACTACTAAATGTGTACTCTGTCCTACTTTGAAACATTAGTAAGGCCTGTCCTGATCCAGATTTTTCCATTATGAATATCTCAGAGGAAATGCTTAGGCTTTGTTATCAGCTTTGCCATAAATTACTCTGTAGGTGCTATTTCAGTGCTCCAATTCCTTTCATGAAAAATAGGAATAATAAAGTGTGATTGTTGATGTGTCAAAAAACCTTGTCTTCCCCACACTGATTTCACCTGCTATTTTCATTTCTTCTCAGCTTTTCAAAAATAATTTGTACCTCCTATAAAGTTCTCAGGATGGTGCCGGGCCAGCATTCACTTGCAGGAGTGAGATTTCTGTTAAAAGAACAATACGGCGCCTCCTTACTCTGGCATTGTGTTGCATGACTGTCCAAACCTGAGCTTCAGCTGAAATTCTAATAAAGCAGAAAATGCAGTGGTGAGGCTGATATATGAAATTTCTGTTTCATGGTAAATTATAAAGGCCAAACAGATTGAATGCCACATGTCCCGAGGAACCACCAAAAAAGCTAAGATTTTTGTGGGCTTGATCAACAGAAGCAAGTCTGATTTAAGAAACATTTGCTTATTTATAAATAAACTCTAGGCAGCTTACAATCATAGCATTGCAAAAGCATAACAACAATAAGCATATTACAACGGTTGTGAAGGAATGGGACATCCCCATGGCTGAAATCAGAATCAGTTCATGAAACATTGCTACAAGTCAGCACTGAGGACGGTAGCTCTTAGAAGTGATCACGCTTGTCTCCTGCTTATTTAAATGTATTGTTCCCCACCCCTTGTCCCTCAAAATCTTTAGCTTGGTCACCAGCTTTCAGGATACAGCGTAGGAACATTGCTTCACAGGAGGAAGCACTAGCCAGAATCATTTATTTGGTCCCAAGCCTGGAAAAACCACTCAACAAAATATGACTAGGCTTCTCCTTCTTGACAGATGCTTTTGTAAATGCTAATCCCAGATGTAGCCTAGGCTACTGACAGATGTCCCCAATAATTCTATTGTTGCATCTTTACAATATGTAGCCTGATGCTGGCATATGGCAGTGTTGCTACAATACAGGGGCCCTGAGCCAATACTGTCATTCCTTGTTTTACAAAGCAATATGTTTGAGCGCCAGCATTGATTGGAATATTCTGATGAATGCCCTGCCCATTGCCCAATGCTTTCAAATGGGAGTCAAGACACATAAATGTTCAGATTAAGTGCTTCATTTTCATTAATCAATTAATTAATTGAAGACTGAATGAACAGCTGGCAAGATAGGGTTTGAAATGGATGTGATGAGTCAATTCCTTTTTCCTACTTGGGTGACAGCATTCATCATACACAATTTTCTTTTTTTTCCCCTTCCCTTCCCATCCCTTTCCCACTATTTAGCCACACCCTTATCAAACTCCAACTGTTCTTATGTAGGTTCATCGCTTCAGTCCCTGTTGCATCATGTTGACAGTTTGAAACTCAACTTTAACTTCTTACACCTAATAAGCCATAACAGATTCCATCTTTTGATTCATAAATCTCTAAATTTTCCAGATGTGATAAGTCTGCTAGACAAAGCTTTAAATCATTCTTCCTAGTAGAGATTACTGTATGGTGAATGATTTGCATCAGTGGTTTACTATCCAGATTATCCAGTAATGTACATGGTTGCCCTGTTGAAATGAATATTCAAAGCAGTTTTTGGCTTTTTCTAGAACGTGCTGTTCCATGTTGCTCCAGAGGTTGAATGTTGCTTTACCATCTCTGCTAGGCTTAAGAAAGGCTGTTGTCTTAAACTTTGCAAACTCACGGGCTGGTGTAAACTACACCAATAGTGTAACATTGGCAATGATTTTTCTTACATAACCATTGTGGGGACTTCTATCTATTTGAACAATAAGAAATGTTTTTTTGTCGGCGACATTAAGCTACAGCAGTCATTCTTATTTAAAATGGTCCTAAACTGTAGTGTTGAATACAGTCGAACGTATGCAACAATCCTTTGCAAATATTTCATTTGTGTATCTGGTGTCACTGCATTATATTCTGTCCCACTTCTACAGCTAAGTGTCAGGGATGCAAAGCAAGGGTGGAAAAATATTCTTTCCAGTAATAACATCTTGCAGTGTGTTTAATTTGCATTGTGTTTCACCTGCTGAAGAAAGGGGAAGAGATATAAATTAGCAGCAGTTCTGGAAGTTTCACAATGCCTGGTTAAACCTTGGTTTACCATTTAAAAATGAGGGCTCAGAAAATTACAGTTTCTTGTTATCCTGAACAAGAGGGAAACTGTCAGCAATGTCATAGGCTCTTAGTGAGTGCAACCATGAAGATGCCACAGGTAATATGAAGTTGATGTATCAACTTCCATCTGTATAAATAGATTCTGAATTAAAGATGATTCATTTAGTGGACAAACTTTGGCTCTCTAATCCTAAAATGCATTGTGGCAAGGCACGCAAGAGGATTTAATTTCATCAAGTGCCCACCTCAGTCCTTTTCAGACAACTCAATGAACTGAAAGCCATGTCAAGCCATCCTTGCAATGCCTAACCATAATAAAGCAAGAGAAAAGGTCGCAAAAAATCCCTTTCTCCAAGTAAATAGGAAAAGCAAAGAAAAGCAAATGTTGTCAGTTAAAGGCAACAGGCCAATATGTTGAGTGACCTACTTCATCATTGCTGAAGGAGCTCCCTTTAGACTACCATGGTATTGAAGTATGTTGTGTGGCAGAATAAGGAAGTCTTCTTGAGAGGTGTGGAGTCCAGGGGCTAGAAGCTCACAGGTTAAAAAAAAAAGTGGGGGGAGGTCTTTTTGCCAGAGAAGTCCATCAAATCTCAGATGTACAAGCTGAAATGTAACTTTGTAAGAGTTTCTCAGTATTTCAATTTCCCCTTTATCAGTAGTGAGGAATACTGAATGAAGTATACAGGCAGACCTCACATAATGACTGCCTGTTTAGGGACTGCTTGAAATTACAACAGCACTGAAAAAGTAACTTTACAAACAGTTCTTGCATTTATGACTGTCACAGCATCCCACAGTCACGTGATTGCCATTTATGTGCTTCACAGCTGGCTTCTGACAAGCAGAGTCAGTGGAGAAGCCAGCAGTAAAATTGCAAGTTGCGATCATGTGATGTCTCACTTAACGACCCTCAGTGATTCACTTAATGACTGTGGCAGAAGTGAGGTCATAAGCCTGTTGTGGTCATGTGATGTTTCAATTAGCAACCATGTTGCTTAGCGACAGAGTTGCCAGCCCCAATTGGTGGCACTAAGTGAGGACTACCTGTATAGGAGGAAAGCTTAAGCCTCTTAATAAAATGTGTGAGTCTGAAAAGATGCAACCAGTCTCCTTCTGATTTTTGAATAAACTCTATGATAAAAAGGTGTGTGTGTGTACCTCATTAGCCACTGCTCAGGTAAATGACTCCAGCATTATCAGCCTGGAAGGACAATAAGCTTCTATTAATCCCTCATCATCATCTTTGACTGTTGTAATTAGGTCATTCCTAACCTAATTACTTAAACGGTATTATTCTTTTTTCTGCCATTTGTAACAGGAAAGACAAGGAGATATTCTGGCCGCAAATGAAGCTTCCTCCCTCGCTGTCCTGGTTCTCAGAAACAGGCACCAGATACAGCTGCAGCTGTAGGTATGGCTTTGATGCGAGGGGCGTCAAGGCCAAGAGGGATCTTTTCCACACACAGAGGCAGACTTCCACCTGGGCAGAGAGAGGAGGCTTTCTCCGGTAGATGATGTGGGATATCATGAAAGGGTAGCAAATGCTGCCAGGGAGTGGCAGAGATGATCATGGTATTTTCTGCCACAGATCCCTGAATAATCTGACTGCCTTTGTTTATGCTAAATGTTGCCCTTTGTGATTGTGTTTGCATGTGTATATTAATAAAGCAATATTACAGTCCAGGGACATCTGAAAGGGAGGGTTGTCAGAAAAGTCAAGATGGCGGCTGCGGCCACGTGATTGAAGCCCCACCCCTTACACCCCTAAGTAAAAGTGCCATCTGTGACTGAGCTCCTCCTCTTCCTCCTCCTCCTTCCTGAGTTGCAACAGATTTGGATGTCTGGGTGTAGGAAGGGGTACACATAAAGGAGCCCAGCAATGATGGGCAGTCTTTCAGCTAGACCTGCCCCATTCTTGCTGTACCCCATGATTGGTGGATACTTTTTCACTGGCTGGTGATGAGCAGAAGAGGAAGGATAGCAAAGCTGGAGGAATCAACTCCTTATCCAGCGCTGCACAGGAACATCAGCCAGCACCATTCAGCGGGAAATAAGATCAGATGCAACAGAGGCTTGGCAGGGGGGCATCAGATTTGAAGCTGGTACAACTCAAGGTTGTTTTCTGTCAGCTCAAGGATGTGTGGAGGAGAGCGTTTTAAGTCAGACATGATTAACAGATATATTTCTTATTTTTTATATCAGGTTGATGGTCCAAATTGTGGGATACTGAAGATCCACAATGCATGAAATACTTTTACTTGGTTTTGTGCTAAGCCAAATCCCTATATATATATATATTTTGAGAGTAGTTTATATATCCCTATATGGATGTAGAAAGCAGAGAATTCCAAAACTTAGGTTTCAGTATGAAAACACTGGCTTTTTGTGCTTGGCACAGTTAGCTTTTCAATGCTTCCAAAGCTCCTAATCTGTGAAACATTCCAGGGTGTCCCCAACGTATGGGAAGGCCAGCGCAAGGACTTCGTCTGACTTTAATGACGTTTTGTTCGGGTCTTCATTGCATTTCAGTGGTAAAAATCTTTCTTCCTGAGAAGCACTTGAGAAAAATGGAACCAGGGGATGAAGGTCATACTTAGACAAAAGTATATATAAATATGCCAAGAGACTGTTTAGAATGCAAAGAATGGGGGGGGGGAGCGATAACCATCTCTCACTGTAATCAGTTAGCATGCTCTATAGCAGTGTTTCTCAACCTTGGCAAGTGTAAGATGTGGGGACTTCAACTCCCAGAATTCCCCAGCCAGCATGGAGATGCTGGGGAGATGCTGATTAGGGAATTCTGGGAGTTGAAGTCCACACATCTTACACTTGCCAAGGTTGAGAAACACTGCTATAGAGCATGGGCAGGCTATCTTTTATTATTAAATGATGTAGATTGTAAATTTCAGATTATATAGAGGCAAAATCTTGAAAGTAATCTGATCCCAAGTATTTTAGGGGTTTAGGTACTATCCGCAACCTGGCTCAGCAGCAGAGCTTTTAGCGTAGATGCAATAGGCACGTGGTATGGTTCCTCAGCCCATGATCTAGCTTCCACCTTTGTCAAAACTCCCAAAGCAGTCACAGATGCCTGCAGAAAGGGCACTGCAGTAATCCACATCAGAGGTTACCAGTGCATAAACCAGTGTTGTCCAAACTTGGCCACTTGAAGATGAGTGGACTTCAACTCCCAGAATTTTCCAGCCAGCTGGCTGGGGAATTCTGGGAGTTGAAGTCCACTCATCTTAAAGTGGCCAAGTCTGGACAACACTGGCATAAACTGACGGGGGTTTTCTTTCTCTATGGCTCTTCCCCACTTCACCATTCCAGAAATGGTTCATGGTAGAGGGACTGGGCCGCCATGCCCCCAATACTGAAATATGCAGCCACTAGATGATGGTGACCCAATCATCATGTGTAGGTCAAACCCACTACCATTAGGATGAATAAGGATGCCTGTATGTGTGCCTTTTTCTTGGTGTGCCTGTGTGTGTGTGCCTGTGTGTGTTACAAAGGCATTACAGTAGAGATTTTTTTTTTGTAGTAAAGAATAATTGGTCCACCTGGGGGCAAGTGAAGAAAAAGAAGATATGGTTAGCTATAAAATATTCTATGAGAGGATATGATTTGTTGCAGATTTTGGACCTGACTAATTCGCTTTTTATGGGTTCAGGAGTTCAGTGCATGCCATAATGGCTTCCTCTTTCATTCAAACAGAAGACGCAGATTTATTTATTTGCTCATTATTGGAATGAATTGGGCAAATTGCCTACAGAAAAGATCCATGTGCTCCTTGAACTGACATGAATATTTCTTAGATTGATGTCCCCACTGAACTGATGGGAGTATGCTCAGCTCCATGTTACAGATGTTCCCAATTCAACGTTTATTAGGAAATTTCAGATCCTATTTTTCATGCCACCTTGTAGCTAAGCCTGGATTATGCTATTCCTGGTCTGACAGTCATGTTGCTTTAAACTCTTGCTTCCTCCAAGAAAGTGCGCTGAAAAGGGAGTAATTGCAACCGTTGTCCCAGACGGACCATTTGCACCCCACAGTGATTGGTCCGTGTGACACTGAATCAAAGTGAACGAAGAAAAAAATCCACTTTAAACAGAAGGCATTTTGATCAGTGAGCCTTTAGACCGAACAGAGGGAAGGGTGAATGCGGGAGTAGGTGATGGGATGCAAACTATGAAGATCAGCAATTTATCTAAAACACATTTCCTGCCTTCTAAAGATATTAATATTTAGCCTACACAAGTGACTCCACTGCCTATATACATAGCAGTTCAATTAGTCATTCCCAAGTGAAGCATGCTAATTGATTATTTTGCAGCATCCAGTGGTGATGAATTTAATGGATGTTTTTGTCAAGTAAATTGGCTTGCGGTCTTCATCCAACTTTCTGGCTATTTCTGCTTCCAAATAAGTAGCAGAGCATATTTCTATAAATAGACCAATGCTTGGGGAAAAGAAAAGAGGAAGAAAAAAGGGTCTGCAAGGTAGTACAATGGATTTTAGTTCCTTCTGGTCTCTCCTCAAGCTATCCCTACACACTGCAGGTTGTAAGAAACTGCAGGGGAATGAATAGCCCTTACAGAAATACCACCTCCTATAAAGAACCCAGATGAACATCAGTGATCTTTCATAAGGATGTGGAAATCCTCAAAAGGGTGCTTCGTTTCAACAAAGGCGTGTGAAAAACATGCTCTTAAATTGCTGTGCTTCACTTTGCTGAGGAAGTGGGGCTTCTGTGCATGTGTAGAAGGCCATCCCTGGCTCAGGGAAGCACCAGAAGTGATGTTTCACACTGTGAACACCATATCAAAGAGAAGTGTATTGCCCCTGTGCCTCAGTGTGGCACATTAGCTCTGCTTCATTCTGAGAATGCAAGGCTGTATTCACACAACAAGCCAGGTGAAATCCTAGAGGCTAAATTTGAAAAACATCTGGAGCTTACTAATGTTAGCCTGGGTTAGGGTTTTTTGGTGTCTTTCCAGGTGGCTTAGAGTCATACAAACCTAGGGCATTTATTTAGTGTATGAGTAAATATATTCATGAAGCCAGAAAATGTGATTCAGGATAGCAATACTGTAAAGATGATCTGCTTATGGTTTTTTCCCCATCAGCAAGGCCTTGATAAGGCTATGGGCTGCTGGCCAGAAATCCGTCTAAGAAGTAACAAGCAGCACCAGAATGCCAGAGAACAGTTGTTGTTTCCAACATCTGATGCCCCCGGGAATAATCTCCCCATTGCTCTGAATTGTCCAATTGCCTCCGCTGTATACAAACGGTGTGTGCATATGGGACCCTGCATGAGAAAACGTGCTTTTTCCCTTTTTGCTCACGGTTCAAATGATATGGCTTAAAAGGAATAACTCTAGTACTCAGTTCATTCCATGCCCAACCCCACCCACTTTTTAAATCTTTTTCTGTGACCTTGCTCCCTCTTGCAGTGTGGCCTCTACCCAGCCATTTAAAGGCTGGCACACTTCTTGGCCCAAGGAAAGTCATGTTGTAAGGGTGGGCCTGGGGCCCATCTTCAGTTCCTCTCTCTTCGCTCTGTCCACCTGTGACCAAAATAACATTAATTCTGACCAGCACTTCATCACTTGGACAGCCCTTTTGCTAACAGGCTAAGAGGACTGGCTTTAATAACTATTGCAAAGGAAATGGTCTCTTGTGGAATATTTGCTAATTCGGCAGTCGAGAAGAAGAACACCAGAGGTATTTGTAGAGTTTATGTTTGAGGGAACGGAATGAGCTCCTGGCTTCAGCTACCTGCAGATTATCACCTCTCTTTTTCTCCCCCCAGAACAAAATAGTATGCACTTGAAGAAGCTCCATACTTCCTTAGCTAAATTCAGACAGTGGAGAGAGGAATGGTAACTAATCTGAGGTAACTCTTTTGTTTAGGAAGTTCAGGTGAAGCTGCAGCATTGAGCAGGAAACCAAGCAGCGCACCAGATCGTCCAGAAGACGGATTGGCTCAGTCTAAAAACTGGAACAAACCAACAAAGCAGAATGATTTGCAGAGCAAGCTGGGTGCAAAGACCATTTTTCTATTAAGTGAGCAAAGAGTGGCTGATGTTTCAGTCACTTCTTTTTTTCCCTGTCTTCTTTGCTGAAAAGTTGAAAGCTCCCTTTTTGTTCATTCTTTCAGAAATGTAGAGTGGGTCTAATAAAAGTATTGAATTAATGTGATGTTCTTTTCCTTCTTGGGACCACACAGGTACCTTCATTTTTAATAAGTTACACCAGGATGAAGGACAGGAAGGCCTGGTGCAATATGGTTCATGAGGTCACGAAGAGTCGGACACGACTTAATGACTGAACAACAACAACAACAAAAAGAGTGAATGATAGCTGTTTTCCTATCCAGGGCCTCATTTTGTCAAAGAGAGTTTGTTGGGACCATCTTTTCTCTTCCTCTGACAACTCCCTTTAACTCCCTGTTCTATGTCTCTTTCCAAACAGCTCTCTAAAAGAAGCAAAGATGGTGCTTGGAAGCTCTCTCATGGGTAGGAGTTTTCCAAAAGGACCAAAGGCTCCATCATGTGCCTAAGGCTGCAGGTTGCCCCCTCCAGCATTACATAATCTCCCCTTCTTTTTGGTCCTGAAAATAATACCATGGCTTTAAAGGGGATACATTTATTCCTAGAATTACAAGGTTGGAGCAGTAGGTATTTAGTGCTCTGTTTGTTTTGCTTAATCTAGCTTTTAAAAAAATATCAACTTCTCTCCGAACTAGATTTAAAGCTGTTGAATATAAGAAATTAATCACTTCACTGAGTCGAGCTCTTTGGCTCAGACCCTCTCCCCCTCTCAGGTACATGGCCACTCTTACTGTGTATCATGCCATGATCAGGTGTGTTAAAAAAGTCAAGATAATTGCAATGGTGCGATCAAAGCTCTGCCTGTGCATCGGACATGCCCATGCACTACCCATAAAAAGCAGGCAAAGCTTTGATTGTGCTGCTGTGGTTGCCACCTTGACCTTTTGTACCATTGACTGCAGACACCCCTGGCCATGATGCATTTTCTCTTTATTTGCCTACAGGAAAAGATTTCAGGCATGGAAGCAAAAGGAAACAATGCAGGTTAAGAAAGAAATTAAAGCTTGATTGATTGATTGATTGATTGATTGATTGATTAATGTACTCCTGGCATTGCCTGTCAGTTTACAATACAATGTTAAATATGTATTTATTCATCAAATTTGCATGCCACCGAATCCCAGTGATTCTTGGGAGCATTAAACATCAACAATTAACATCAGTTAATAACAGCATCATATCAAACAGTGAAGCAATAAATCATTGCAATTAAAACACACTAAACTCCCCAAGCCATCGCCCCTAAGTCAAAGAGATAAAGTGCAAAAATTAAAGAGGAAATGTTTGCTTATAGAAATGGGTGCTCAGGTTTCTCATCAAATTAGCCAGTGCTGGTGCCAGCCCTGAAAAGGCCCTGTCCCCTGAGTGGCTCTTGCAGGTAGTTCTTGTTCCTCATCCCTAGAGGAAGTTCAGCATATATGACAAATAACACACTGGAAGTGCTAGCATCAAGCTTCTTCTTTACTAAAGGAACTGCTACTTGGGCTTGCTTACTTCTTTTTTCCCCCTTACAAAAGATAACCCTAATGACCTCATGGAATCAGTGGCTCTAAGTCATTTGTGCACCTGGTCTAGGGAGGTATTGGTGGTTTCATCAGAAAAATAGAATTCAGCATTCTTGTGCACTGGCAAAGGCCTGTACGATCATAGGCCATCCCTTCCCAGTCACTAGTTCTTAATTTACTGTGGTGCCTATGGACCACAGAACACCCCGATGAGACTGCTTTGGGGGCCCAGCAGGCTCCAGTCCCCACCTGATTTTTAAATTTTTTTTTTTTTTTTTAAATTAAAACTTATATTAAATTGGTCCCATGGAGTACCCAGAAGCATCCTTAGTAAATAATGTTGCTATCTCTGAATCCCAGGGATTTATTTGGAATTTTATTTGACCTTACCTGGCCAGAAAAATGTCAGAGGTGAGTAACCTAGAGGACTAGAGGAGGAGAAAGGAGGAACCAATCAGTTTGCATCCTGGTCTTCGCATTACTCATGACTAGTCCGCCTTTCCATAGTATCCATGTTGTGGGAGTGCTCATGACATATTCTCAGTGGTGCCCATAGGAGGAGCCAGGAGGATCAGAATGATAAAAGCAGCATCTTGATGCAAACTCCACCTCTTTTCTACATGCCTTATGATGTCATATGTATGCCCCAAAGGGGAAGAGCTTGTGACATGGCATCATTTTGACAAAATGCGATTCTGCAGATGTCACTATCTATTCACAAATATTCGCTGGCCCAAAAAGATTGAGAAGCCTTGGGTGAACATGTCCCTTTTTAACCAACTGATTAGACATTGGAATGCCCAGTGGGAGCAGAAGTCTGGCCTTATCCTGCCCCTTCACCCTGGACATCTATGGAGTTTGAGCCATACAGAAAGGGTAAGCAAATATGCAAAAGTGAGGAGATGGTGAGTCTGCTCTAAGAAATGCAGCAGTGAGGGAATATAATCCAAGAAAATTTAAATCATAGATAGTCCAGGACATTTTTCTGTCTAAGATGGCATCTCCTTCCATTCTGGGCACAAATCTATTGAGAGTGGGAAGTAAATCTTCATTTATGATATAGACAGTTCTTCCTTCTGATTCCAATGCATTGCTGTCACCTTCCCAAGTCTGCTGCCTGAGGTAACTGCCCCTCACTCTACTTTCTCTAATAGTAGCACAAGCCTGGTTTTGAACTCTTTGATGTAGGAGAGAAAAGTGTACTGCAGTGATTTCCATGTTATGTCCAGAGAAACTGCAGTTTTCCTGGTAGTGATGATTGAGATAGATAGATAGATAGATAGATAGATAGATAGATAGATAGATAGATAGATAATGTATAACAACACTCCATAAACACCACACTCAGAATTCTTCATGGAGCTTTCATCCTCTTTCTCTTTGTCAAACTACAGGGCGCGTCATTACTTTGAGGATGTGAACAAAAAGCATAACAGTTCCCTGATGCAACACATGCTATCTCTGATAGCAGAGAAGATGCTCAGAAATGTTGCCATTTCCTGTTATGTGCGCTGGTGGACCATTAGGATACAGTCTTACAGGGTTATCCTTCTTCAGGCTTGAGAAGACACACTGGTTCTTCATTCTAGAAGGCAATTAAGAAACTAAAAATGTAAGTCCCACAAAAGCAGACTTTATGAAATGTTAGGAATAACTTGCCAACATTGAGAGAACCTGGAACCATCAATTGCAGGGGCCATCTTGCCAAATGACCTCTTGCCATCAGTGGACTTATCAGAGGGTCTCCTCTTTTATAGCCACAATAGCTATATATTCATCTGGCAGGGAAATCACTATCTGGAGAAGAGCAAGCAGAGAGCGTGGAGGAAGAAATTAATTTACAGATAGAGTGAACAGTGCTTGCAGCTCGGCTGTGTCTGGATTCTTCAGGCAGCAGTCAGGTTGAAGGAGCAAGCCAGCAGAGAGGGTTGTAGATAGAACTGTCCAACATTCAGACATTCAGAGAGAGATCATGAAGCATCAAGCATGCACTTCAATTGCAAATAACTCTGAGAGGAACACTAAGTCTGATTAAATCTGGTGGGTTGTATGTCTGCTGCTTGATTAATTAGCCAGGGCACTCCTGTTCCTGCCAGCTCTTAGCTTTAGTCACTCACTGCATCTCACAGCCCCTGCAGTGTAAGTAATATTTGCTCTCTAGGACTGGATGGAGGGGAAGAGGTTCTAACCACTCTTAATCTCCATCCGTTTCTGCTTCTGCAAAGCCATTTCCTTTCAGTTTTTCTCAGACAGGTGACTAATTTTCCAGACTCCCAACAATACTCGCCTGAAGCAGTATCACCTTCTCCTCATTGGAAGACTTTTCTGAAGTGGTTTTGATAGAAGCCTATTTATACATTCCATTTAGACTTCTACATCACAGATATCTCAGATTTACCTAAAGCAACATCTGGTATCACTTCAGGGCCCTTCCTCTGGCTTTGCATCCACCCCCTGAGTTTCCATCAAATGATGAGTGTCCTAAGAAGGTCTCCATGACAAGGTGTATATACGTGCATGTATATTTACACAATCTAATCAGAGCCTCATCTATAGGAAGTGCTTCAGATAGCCTCCAATAGATATGGTAGGATCCCTGGAAGAATACTGGACAAAGATCGCACTAATACATCCAAATTAGTCTTGCTTCTATAATAGACACAGTGACCTGAAATTCTTCTTGGCACAAGAACAAAAGGACAAGATATAGAAAGGGTCAGATTCTAGCTTCAGCATGCCGATTGTGAAACTGACAACCATTCAAGACATGACCTTTGGAGACATACAATTGATTCTGTGGGCCTGTTTTCCCTCTCATCAGCACAATGACATCCAGCAAGACATATGCCCAAATGCACGTACTGGTGGAACTAAGTATTCATTACACCAATTAGCTGGAACCCATGAACTTTTCAGAGATTGCCATTCAGGAATCTGGTCAGAATATAGATAAGTATAGATGTCAGCCTGAGAGGCTGGGGAGCCCACCACCAGAATAGATCAGTATAAGGCTCATGGACTCATTATGACACAATAATTCCCGTCAGTGAACTAGAACTGAAGCTGGAAGAACAAGTCAAGAGACATCATATATTGGTGTGCATGGGCTATATCTCAACAACAGCCCATCCAAATTGCCAGGAGGTTCTAAATTTAGGTCACTTCAAAGAAGGCTGCTTGACTTATGCAGTGTATGCATGGTGCTTAGGATATACCCAAAGCACATACTAGAAAATGGTCAGACAGTCTGTTTGTGTCATACAAACCAGGTGTGATGGAATGTGAGGGTGGCCTCAGAAGATGTGGGGAAGAGATGCCACCTAGGGAATGATCAGATAAAAAAGAAAGGAATCCACAACAGGGTAATGGTCAAAGAAAGAAACTTAGGAAGGACCCGCCCTAACTACTCAGGTGGTAAATAGGGAGAGCGGAACTGTACTTTCAGTCTGTACTTTCAGACTTGCAAGATTCTGTTAATGTAGCCTTACAATAAAGTAGAATTAGTTCATCTAGTCTTGTTTACTGTCTGGTTTATCTGGGAGGGCTGACACCAGGAGACCAAGGCAAATAGGTATCTTATTTCACCATTAGCCAGTGGATGAAAGTGTGCATTGCACTGGCTAGTAACAAACAGTTTCCCAAGGGACAACCACAAATTCAGTGGAGTGGATTGTCACATCAGCAGCCCTAGGATCAGGAGTCCCACTGATAGACAACTATAATATAGTCACATGGGTTACCTCTTCCATGTTTGTCAGCCATTACAAGATAAGCAAGTGGGTCTCATCAGATGCAGGTTTGGGCTGCACAATCTTATGGTCAGATTTCATATCTGATGTGGCAATAAATAACCTCTCTCTAGAAACATGATCTCACTTTCAATAGCTAACTACAAAAGCTTCAGAGACATGATATGATCTAGATACATTATTATTATAGATACAAAAGAAGTAACATATGTGCAGAAGATCAGCCAACTCTAGAGCATAGGAATTCAGCCCTATATATGTATATGTCAGATCCAGGATTTATTTCCAAGCCCCTTTTTCATGTTTTTTTTTTTTCAGATTGATTGCTTGTTAGCTGTTCTTTTTCCTGCTCTGAAGCTTAATATCGACTCTGTGTTTACACAACATTTCTGTCCAGCTTTAATTCCTGCCTTGTTAATTTTAGCTCTTAAACTTGTAGAATCCTATAAAGAATATCTAGCCTCCCTCCTAATGAAATAAAGTTGACCAATCTTCTATTGACCAAGAATGGTAGCTGGACTTACCATGAAGTATCCTTCTCATCACTGAGTAGTGGATTCAACAGTCCCACCCAATGAAAGTATAAGAGCATGGAAAAGATATGGAAGACATAAGGAATGACCTTGAAGGACAGGAGGAAGAGCTGCTACCAAGGCAATGGTTAGATAAGTGGGGCTTGAGCCCAGGCCAAGAAACTGACAAGAGAAAATGTCTCAAACAGCTTCTCACTAGTTCACACAAAGATAAAGTGAGGGAGGAGGGAAGCACATTCAGATTTTCAAGATCCTGTTACTATAGCTGATACAATAAAAGCACTGTAGTCCTGACTTATATGTCATTTGTTTCTTAGTCTGGTCTACCTTGTAAGGATGATATCAGATCAGGAGAGACTTGGACTCATTCCTACCCATTCTAACTGGTTATTGGATCATCATGGACAGGTTTTCCTGTTCTATTTAATCCTTGTCTTCCTGAACTCTGGCCTGCTCCTATATCTCAAATTATTCTGTTCTGTCTTAAGTTTCCCTCAGTCTTGACCTCCTCTCTTGTTCTGACTAATGACTTCTTCTAAAGCTACTGGCTTTAGGCTTATTTCCAACTGCAGCTTATGGGGTTGCCCTGACAGAATTCTGGCTGATTAGTTTCCAAAGAACAGAGAACTTAGGGATGATGTGCTTTAGAATATAGAGCTAGAGAAGCATGAAGCTGTTTTTAAAAACCTTATTAGATCAAGTAAGTCAGTGAAAAAGTGAGCCACCCACCCAAGGACTGGGGAGACCAATGGCAAATCCGTATTCAGCCAAGTGGATCACTGGATGATTTGGGCCAGTCACCATCTCTCCGTTTTACCCCCAGGGTGGTTTCAAGGGTAATCCATACAATGGGACCTCAAGGTCCTGGAGAAAGATGGATATAAAACCAAAAATAAATAAATAGATAAACTATATTCTTCAAGCTGAAAGGTGCATTCTTGTATTATAAAATATTTCATTCAAGAAGAACATTTAAAAGGTATTAAGTCACCCTGGTTATACAACTACCTTGTTTCATGTGTTTTTGGAAATGTCCTCATGATCACAGTTAGCAAGATGAATTCAGAATTTCTGCTTAAAATAGATGGGGAAGGATCAGACTCACACAATTTCTTTCCTATAATTCCACCTTTGCAGAACACTAGGACACCAACACAGCAATTAAGAAATAATTTTTGCTAAAAGATGAAATTACTAAATTGGTTTAGCTGTTTAATCCCATGCAAATGTACACTTCAGACTATAAAGACAGGATTAAGGTAAGGCATAGAGAAGTACACAATTGAGTAGTTCAGATTACAGCTTTGTCCAGCATGTAATATCTGAATCTATTATAGTCAGGCATAATTTCATCTAGAAGCTATTAGTGACTCAGAATATAAATTAGATTTGTTATGCAGACAGTATTCATGAGGGCAGTGTTAGCCCCTTATTCTTAATTAAATTATGTTAGAAATTCTGTGATCATGAAATTATGACCTACAAATTCAGCTATTTGTAGAACAGCCCTGGGAAACCTCCAGCCCAGGACCTAATGTGGTTCTCCAGGTCAATCCATTTGATCCTTGGGCCTCAATACAAGTTCCTCCCACAATACACCATCTCTTTCTTCATCTGCAGCAAGTGCTTCTCACAGGTTTGCAAGAATAGCTCTTTTTGGCCACCCCAGAGCTTCCCCAGAGCGGGAAGATGCAGCACAGGCAAGATCTTCAAGAGCAGCGCCTGCAGGCAGCCCAGTTGCAATGTCTGCAAATAGAACTCTGCATTTCCCTATTGGGAAGTGAACAAGAACCACCCTTGTAGGCAGTTCTGCAGCAGCGACTGAATGGGTGATTTTGTTTGGGGCATGCTATTTTTTTCCATAGCTGGAGTACAAGTACAACCCTGTGCTCTGGCATCTTTCCTGCAAAAGGCGGTGAGGGGGCATCATTCCTCATCTCCTCTTGCATGAGAATACAAATAATACTTCCTTCCTGAATGCTCCAGTCCCTTTCCTTTGGGGAGCAGGTAGTAGCTGTGGCTAGGAGGACATTTGGATAGGTTCATCTTGTTCACCAACCACTCCTCTTCCTGGACTGGAAGGTCTTGCTCATGGTGACTCATGCCTTAGTCACCTCCTGTTTGGATTACTATAACACATTGTACATGGGGCTGCTCTTGAAGAGCATTCAGAAGCTGCAGCTGGTCCAGAATGCAGTGGCACGGGTAGTTTTGGGCGTTTCTCATTACGCCTGTATTGGCTCTGTGAGCTGCACTGGCTTCCGGTGGACTTCTAGGTGCGATTCCTACATGGCATAGGGCCAGACTATTTGCAGGACTGCCTGTCCCCCATTGTGTCTGCTCACCCCACTAAATCTAGGGCATGGAGCGCATGCTCCAGGGCTCTTCTATTAAACAATGTCACCTGATTGGATACAAGTTGTGTCTTCTCTAGGGCAGCACTTACCGTATGGAACAGCAGCCCTCCAGAAATTAGGATGGTCTCAGCCCTGTTAGACTTTTGTAAAGCACTAAAGATCTGGCTGTTCCCCAGGCATTTGGGGCCATGAAGTTAGACGAGCTCTGCTGGCTAATGTGGTTATTCTTTATGAGTTGAATTGTGTTATGGCCTTGGGCACTGGGTTTTTGTAAAATTTGTTGTGGTGGCTTTAACCCTTGTATACCATGCAAAGTCACTTTGGGGAGATGGGTGGCCCTAAAAATTATTCAAACAAACAAGCAAGCAAGCAAGCCTGTCAAGGAAATGGGGTTGAATCCAGCCCACAGACTAGATTCAATTCCCCATTGTTCTTACAGAACATTTGCTTTCCTGATTTTCCTGTTAAAAATCTTACTCTTTTTGAAACTCAAGGATGGCTATGATCAAGACCCTGAACAATCTGACTTAAATAATTGTTTGATCTCTGTTTGGCCAACTCTTTTTGTAATTTCTTGCAAACGTTATGGGTGCTATTCAGCATCAGAGCTAAACTTGCATGTCTTTATTCCTGGATTTATTCTTGTTGCTCGGTGGGATAGCTTCATTTGGAACAGCTCCCTGCCACAAGTGATGCTGGGCAATATGACAATCCTCAGGAGAAATGAATACAACCTTGGAATGTACTTGTGACAGCATTATGGGTCATAAGAGAATTTTTAGGCCCTTTACCCTAGTCAGATGCTCACCGATAAAGTGTATAAAGTGGGCCAATTCCACATCAAGGTATACTTATCCAGGAAAAGCATGTGGATCATAATCAAGCAAATCCACAGGTAAAATAACTTGTGAGACAAAAAGGAGCACAAATATATTAAAGGAGTTTTTAAAAAAGCTTTTTAATTCCGAAATTTGTGTACACCCTCCATCCTAAGATGGCAAAAGCAAGATCTTTACAACAGCACTGCTTTTAGACATAATATGAACACTTTCTGGGTATGACAAAAAGATGTTTGAAATATTTCAGGTTGCAGATTAATGAAGAACCACCACCACCACCCACCCCCTCCACCCCCCAAATTGTTTCTTCTAGGAGGTAGTGCCAACGTATTCTATGCAGGTGCACTAGAACAGATGGAGGAAAGGTTGAAGACATGGGAAGAACCACGCCTGGACTTTTCATTTCTTCCATCACCTTCTTGTGCTGCTTGTACACACTCCCATTTACACATTTGAGTATATAAATAAGGAGTGCAGTGCTATCATTAGCCTTGGGAGGATCCTCTAGATCAGACTAGTTACCTGTTCTTTTTCCAAATGTCCAGGTCTCCTTTCTTAATAGTAAGAGTGAAGTATAATACCATTAGAAAGAAATATAAAGCTATCCTTCTGCATCCTCAATAACTTTTCTCTCTCACCCTTCCTATTTCCTCCCTAAGCCAGTGTAAGGCTTCCACTCAGAAACTGTTCACTCTCGCAGTTCAGGGAGTTATGGGAATATAAACCGTACACCAAGGAGATGTGCCAGGCTGTAACTAAGCAGGAAATACAATATGCCGACAGTGTTCAGTCAGACAGAAATGAATGTGAGTCCTGGTATGCACCCCCCCTCACCCCACTCCCATCTTATCAGCAGAATATAAACTCTCCCATTTTATAACAATAACAACAATGTCCTTTGTTGATGAAAGCAATGCAGACACCACCACCATCTGGCCATTGGAGGAATGGTAGATATATCTTGAAAAAGGTAGCCATATACACCACAGCTTCTTAAATAGACTGGTAGATTTTGAGAAGGTGACGAAATGCCCCCCAAGTAGGGGTATTCATGATGGGGAAAGACTTGTCATTGGAAGAAATGTTTAGAGTGTCAGAACCCACTGGTGCTTAAATAGCTACACCTGAATTTCCACATCGTGCCAAGCCTTTGTAAGTCACAAATGAGGTCACAGTTTTGTGTGTTGAGACACAATGGTAAAGCACAAGTCCTGATTTGGAAGCTACAGTAGCTGGGTTCACACAATGTCCTAACCCAAAATCAAACAAATCACATTATAGCTTAGTGTGAAGCAGGCCGTTGAATGATTAGCATGAGGAATGGATATACTGAAAGAGAAATTATTTTTAGATTCAGGAGCTTTTATTGGCTTGTAATGAATCTCTTCCTTTCATGGATAAGACAGACTTAAAAGCCCCCCTTTCCATTTTGGTACACTGGTCAGGATTTTTAAAAAGGTTTCCCTTCTTCCCAGATAATTCGAGCACCTGAAACATAAGATTGATTTTGAACATTCAACAAAAGGGAATCACAGCTGGATAGTTCAGCATTTTCTATAATAGTGTTTATTGTTTTTACTTTTCAGAACCTCTTCTCCAATTTTATGGTAGGGAAGTTGTGATCCTCCAGCTGTTACTGTGCTATGATTTCCAGAAACTCCAACTGAGAAGAATGGTGAGGGATTCTGGAAGTTGTAGTTCGGTACCAACTGGATGTTCTCCATCCCTGCCCAATTTATAGCTTTGTCCTTTGTGGCTCTCCTGGTGGGGCTTCTCTACCTGTAGGCTCGTAGCTGAAGTAGAAGCTGCAGCAAATGTGCATATGCCGCTTCCATCAAATCAAGGTGGCTAATTTGCAGAGGCAGAGGGTCTCACCTCAGGGAGGAGTTTTGTGGGGATGAAGCTGAGCAATGCATTTCCATGAAGCAAAGTGCCTTATTGAGGCAGATCGATTGCAATCTTCACAGAGTGGGGGTAAGGAGAGGCTTACAGTATATAGCCATGCCTCACTTTCAGCTCTGTTTTGCTTCAATGTCACAAGAAATGTGCTCCTCCACGCATGAACCTTTGGTTTGAGAAGGCATCTCGG